CGCAGCGATTGATGATATCATTCATATTAATACATCGATATCGAGACTCTTATCCGAATGGGATCGTGTTTTCACATGATATGCGATTTCGATAATCCGGCACGTATAACTGCATCGATTGCCAATGTTTTTTTTTCCCATTCAACTCGAATCACCCGTGCATCAGTCCTTTTCATACCGCCTCAGCAATAAGATACGTATGTACACAAACGGGACAGCTCTTTACAAATTGCACAATTGTTCGCTTCTTTAGGAACGCGTACACGGTAGTGCAAGTTAAAAATTCTGACGAGCGATCGAAAACGAGTTGCATAATTTTTTTTTCATCACGGAGCCTTAAACACGCATATAACTTGTTTATCGCATTAAAACGAATTCCAAGATATTTCACAACAGTCTTCATGTCAATCATCGTGTACGATCGCTGACAACCGATTACGTATTTGAGTGAACAAATTACAATGTGTGTCAGAACACATGTGTGCCCTCTTAAACATTTATTTAATTAAAAAAGAAAAACGTCCTCCGATATATTTTCGTCGCCGCAACTTCGACGAATGCCTCCCAATTTAATGGCGCATGACGAAACGATTCCAATCGCTAATTAATTTTTCTTCATAAATTAGAAATTCGATCGCAGGTTTGTTTCCCTCGAAATTGTCTTGCTTGATTCGATGAAATCGCGATAGGATGCGCATTCACAGCGTACACGTGCTGAGACTATCTCGACGTTTACGATGTCGTGAGTCACGTTCGCAATAAAATCAATCATAGATACACGAGCGTGCATAGTCGTTGAGCGTGCAAACCTGCCCGCCTATACAGAGTGTCCAAGGTTTCCTCGCACTTCCGTCTATCCGGCAATCTTTCGATCAATTTGGAGTTGATTCGGAATTATTCCGATTTATACATAATTGAAAATTCAAGAAAATTATATATATATATATATCTTTTGAAGGATTTCCGTTGTACATCTCGAGGAATAAAACTTGAGAAATTAGGTAGTAACATTATATATTATTCAACTTCTCTCTAAGTTTAATTTCGACTTTCTTATAAGGGAATTTTGATTGTATGATTAGATGAAAAATAATTAAGATTAAGAATTAAATGACATTTTATAAAAGAGAGATATACTTAAAAATAAATCTTAAAATATTCTGTAAATCTTTTTTAATTTTCTTTTTTACGATAAATAAATTTGATTGTAATTGATAAATTATGTTTAATACGAGACATAGCTGCATATTATTAAATAACTTAAATTCTTGTGAAACAAAAAGATATTCAAAGTTTCAAATTTTCAAGAAAACGATGAGTATAATTTAGTAAAAAAGATGTGAGAGAAAAATTTTTCTTTTATCAGCGTGTTTACGAATAACTTGCTTTATTTAAATCATATACTGTCCAAATTGAACAATAGACTTACACTTTTGTAATAATACGGTGCAATAACGCATGAATATAAATGTGTTTCCACAGAGAGGAGATTAGATGCAAATCGATTGAATGTCATTATCATATTTTAGTCACCTACGTGATCATATCGTGTTTCCGCATTTTCACATAATTAGCAGGCTGATATCGCTCGATGATATAATCTATATTTAATGCAATTTAAGCAATATTAAATAAATCTTATTATAAATCAACTAAATAAATCTGGTTTTATTTAAATTTTGTCGAATGAAATCTAATTTCTTCACGCGTATATTTGTCTGCTAAATGAATTATATTTTTATAAAAACAAGAATAATTGTTTAAACATACAATACATACAATAACATGCAACAAGTTTTTTCATTCTTACGAAATCTAGTGTGCCTATTGACTTGAGTTATTCTTTCTCAATTGTTTTTCGATATTAACTTACTTATCGAGCTTGCTCGTCTCGAAAACTCGAAGTTATTTTTACGGATGACATCTCGCGCGCCTATATCGCTATATTGCTCATGATACTATTGAGTGGCTGATTTGAATAACCATATTTGTCAGTTACACCTCCGTACCCACGTGCAATTAAATTAAGAGAATAAGGATGCGTATAAGTGCAGCATTTGCGTTGTACAACCGGGATCTTCTCGATCTCCGCATGCTGGCGATTCCGTGCAAATATTTACCATGCTTAAGCACAACCATTGCAAACCCACACGGCGACGGGAAGACTCACTGGTAATCTTCCGCGCGGACATTATCATCGATGATAACAAGGAAGGGGCCGATAATTGCAGAACAAACGCATCGGCATCGGAATTAACTTAAATCGCGCGAGAAAAATTCGAATTGACGCGTCGCATCGCATCGATCCGATGCCTGTTTGAGGAATTAGGCTATTCATCAGGTGGCAATTATAGGCAATTAGATAGCCGAATGCACAGTATATAACCGAGCATATCGACGCGCACTGGTGTTTCCTGATAAGGTCACGCTCGAGGTTCTCCATCTCCCTCACACTTCTCCTTTCCTCTTTCTTTTCCCATATACGTTGCGGTATCATTACGTTCGACCGGTTCTGATACACCAGCTGGTTTCTTCGATCTTAGGAGAATTTTGAAAATATGTAGTTCCTTATCACATCTGCCTTATAGTCGTTTTGCAACGCGAGAGCAAATAAAATGTTCTTTAAATGGATCTTGTCAGTTGCATCGAAAATGAAAATCTTAATGATGTGCAAGTGTCATCTCTCCTTAATATTCAACATGTTTGATCATACACGTATTGTCAAACGTGGTAACGTCAAACATTATATAATTCTGATTATATTGATATTTTAGTTAGAATGCAATTTTAGTTAGAATGAGTATCTTTTGATTTAATGATTTTGGCTAATAATCTAACGATTCTGCATAATACATCTTTATTCTTATAGAGATTCATATCACAATGCATCTGCACCTGTTTATGGTATCATGCGAAAAAATATTGGATAATAACATTCCAAATAATATAAAATACATATAATACTGCTCGTTTCAAATGAAATTTTTAGGAAGCTTACCACGTTACTATTTTTATGATAAAACAACTTGTAACGTGTCTTCTTTCGATCGATACAAAAAATTATTATCTCACTAAAGAGATTATTCTAATTGCTCCTCGAGATTCTTCGTCGTTGTTGCAAAGTAAGAATGTAGTGCCAAATATGGTTGCGATTTTATATCATATTAATACTAATAAATGCCAATTTAAATGCCAACACTGCGGCATAATCCGCTTTTGAGAATCGAGCAATCATCACCTGGATCTAGTTTTTTCAGATCTCCGACCAGACAGTCCTTGCCAAGACAGCACATTTAAACTTAGGATTACCCTCCACGGCGAACATGCTCAAGATCGCGACATCCCCCCCAAGCTTCTCCTTCGCCGTTCTCTCCTCGTTCGCCGTTATTTGCAGGCGTTCCTTATGCCATTCGTTCAACAAGTGCTCACTTAGTATAAACCGATTTTTATGTGGTGTATGAGATATCTTCCATCGCAGTTAAATCTTTCTCTCGAAGCGTTTGTACAAACAAACACGCGTGCATTCACCGGTTGCCACGAAGTTTACATGAAACGCGAACTCGCAGAAACAAAACTTTCTGCGTTCTGCGATGATCGCAATTAGATTCAGCCTATGATTCTGATTGACAATGAGATATATTTACACGAGACAGTCGCAAATTGAATATTTTCAAATAATCAATTATAAATATCAATATATATGATTATTTTTATTAAAATATTTAAATTAAACGCTTGTTTACCAATTTATCTAAATTGTCATTTCAGTTCTGGAATTACAAACTGTTCTTTTTATCCTAACAAGCTCAAAGACTCGAGTTAATTAAGGTGCGAAATAAATCGCGAAAGAAGGAAAGAGAAACCTGTAACGGTGTGCCAAATAATCGAACGATTGGATCAAGAGCTTATGAGCCACTGAAGGCGGACCACTTTTCATTAAAGTCACTATTGTGAAACGCAATATATTTTATCGCGTGATAACTTGGTCGTTATATAGCCAACAAAAGAGGCATTCTATCATTCTTGATTAGTACACCTGTGGATTATATCTACACTTTATCGCGTCGCCGGATGTGACACTCACAATCAGGATCAGTGGATTAAAAATGCATTGCGAGGAATTTTAACTAACTCGCTTTTTCAATCGATAAAAATTTGCATAAGACACTACCTTCCAAATTATATTAATTTAAATAACACGATATAATCTATATATATTTTTATAAATGAAATTCAAAGAGTAAAAGTTATGAAATACATGAAAGATTTTATGTTGAGTTTATCTTCCAAAAAATTTGTAATTGTAAATTAATGCTGTACCGCGCGAACTTCCTTTTCGATTAGGATTTCTATCGCAGTCACATCACGAGATTCTCAAGGATTTCGCATATTACGTGCTTCGATCATCGATAGAAATATGAACTGGAATTATATTTATCTCACGCGACATGTTTTTGTCTAATTTAAAATCGATTTTTTCACAATAGATTTATTAATATGACTGTATTAATATAACTTTGAAGTTATAGATTGAATATAAATGTTCTTCGACGAATTGAGCTTCCGATATGAAAAACATTAGGGCAAATAAATAATTACTTCTACAAAAATTTATTATTAAAAAAACATGAATTCACTTTTCCATCATTGTAAACTCAAAGCAAGAGTGCACGCCAAATATAGTTACGACATTTATGCCATATTAATATTAATAAATGCCAATTTATGTCAATACTGCGACATAATCCGTTTTTTTTTAGATAAACGATCGTCGCGATCGTCACCTGGGTCTGCTTTCTTCGGGTCTCCGATCAGACAGTATTTGCCCAAGCAGCATCTGAACGTGGGATCGCCCTCCAGGGAGAACATGCTGAAGATCGCGACATCTTCGTCCTTCTCTTTCGCCCTTCTGATTCTCTCCTCGCCCACCGTCTTCGTTTGCAGGTGCAGCTTACTCGACAGCCGTTCACTCAACGCGTCGGTGGCCATATTTTCTCTCAAAACGTTTATACAAACAAACACGCGTGCATTCACCGGCTGCCACGAAGTTTACGCGATCTCGCAGAAACAAATCTTCCGCGCGCCTCTTTACACGGCGTTCCGGCAGCGATCGGATTGGATCGCTGATTACAATTGACGACGTCAAAATAGATTTGCGCGAGCTCGCGAGTTAAGGTTACGATTATTTTTAATTAAATCATTTAAATTAGGCGCTTGTTTATCAGTTCAACCGAAGTGTCATTTCAATTCCGGACTATAAGCTCGATTTCTTTTTAACTCGATCTTAAATCAAACGATCAAGTTAATTAAAGCGCGAAATAAATCGCGAAAGAGAAGGAAGGAGAGAGAAAATCGTAACCCCGGTGTGCCGGATAATCGAACGTGGAGAATCGAGCGTGCGATTGGGCCGAGGTCTTACGAGCCACTGAAGGCAGACCGCTCTTCGGCTCTCGCTGGAGTCACCGTTGCGGGCAGGCGCAACGTGTGTTACCGTGTGATAACTTGGCCGTTATACAGCCGACGAGAGAGGCATTCTACCGTCGCCGCTTGGTGCCTGCGGATTATATCTGGACACGCGCCTCCAGATTTCGACCGTGGATCCGTGCTAATCAAAGATGCACTGTGGGGATCCTCGGTTCCGACTAACCCGTCTTCTCGCAACCGGAGGGGAAAAAAATTTACATAAGGCACTTCCCGAATTAATACTAATTTAAATAGCATGAGATAATATTTTTTTTTTTATAGACCGCAACCCGAAAAGCTATATGAAATACATGACAGATTTAACGTTGAGAGAATTTATCTCCCAATAAATTTGCGATTAATGCTGTATCGCGCGGACTTCCTTTTTGATTAGGATATTTCTATCGCAGTCACGTTATTCTCAAGGATTTCGCATATCGCGAGCTTCGATCATCGACGGAACTGCGAATTGGAATTATATCCACTTAACGCGACGTATTTCCATATACAGAATTGCACAGAGGTTCCGACCTCAATTTTAACGATGGATTTCTGTTTAATTTAAAATCTATTTTTTTCACAACGACTCTAATACCTCTGGAGTTATAGGCGATTAAATATGGAAATATTTTGGGGTGAATCTTAATCTTCCCATGTTCCGATCTTCCAATTCAAAATATCAAACTAAAACTTTTGTGGCAAATAATTAAATTATATATAAATTAAAGAAACACGGATTTTCATTTTTTTTCTAACACTGATTTATATGCATATAACTCTTAGAACATATATATTACTGGAAGGAGAGTTGAGTGCTGAACGTGAAGCCAACATCTGTGCGAGACAGAAAGGTATATATGTTCCCAATTGACTGTAATACGCATGTGCCATTCAGCCCCCACTCAGCCTGTTTTGCCTAATTTTTTATTTTTCGAAAATTAAAAAAAAAATTAAAAACGAGGCTAAGTGGGGGCTGAATGGCATATGCGCATTACAATTAATTGGAAATCTATATCTTTCTTTCTTGCACAGATGTTAGCTTCAGCTTGATACGCGGACGGTATAAACAATTCTCCTTCCAGTAGTATATGTTCTAAAACATAACTACACATCATATTTAATGTGTGACACAGTAAATGACGAATTTTTGTGTGAAGAAAAGTTGTTTGTATTTCTTTAGTTTGTATTTCAGACACTTTTTCTTGGGAATAATGTATTGCAAACAGTTACAAAGAATAAAATATGTTCTTGAAAAATGTTGCAGATAGAAATAAGTACATGACGTCATTTGATAAAAAAGATCTTTTTATTAGTTGTTATGTAATGTACGGATCGTTATTCGTAAAATTAAGGTGCTCAAAAATTTATTCGCGAATATCGAATGATTAATGATTCGTAATTTCTTTTAGCTGGTTGTCTGGAAAACTTGTTCCACGTGACTTTGCGCGTGAGTATCCGTAAATAACTCTCTTCAATCTATCCTTCAATCGCGCTGCATCGGAAGAGCAGCATGACGGAAATGGATATGGAGGAAACAGGAAATCTCGATGTTCGGGCAGAATCGCATGTTCGCGGTATCATGAATCCGATCGAGATTTATTAACGATTTCACAAATTGATACGTAGCTCGTGAAATGTCAAGCTCACGTATATACGAACACACGCTGATCACCAAATCATTCGCGCCGACAATCCCTCCGATTGACCTCGACATCAGCTAATCCTTTTTATTTGTCAGAAGCAAAATTGGAATTCGTCCCGAAACTCCCACGCCGTCCGACCTTCCTCAATGTGTCACGCAAATTATTCTTAACGAACGGCTATATTGTGAGAACAGCGCGGGCTGGGTCCTGATGATAACTGCATGCCAACATTATTAGACCGCAGTGCGTCGCAAGTTTCGACAATAAATAATAATACATCGGCAAGAATAGTTTGAATAGTCAGAATTATAGTTTTGCGATATTTCCTCGAAATTTATTAATATCAAAGATTTTGACTTTTCTGAAGTTTTATCAAATCTATTCCAAATCAGAACGAAAAATTTCTTTTATTTCTATTGCCTTATCAAAATCTTCAAGTTCACACTCTTTTGAATGTTTATATATTGAAATTGTCATCTATTCAGAAGGTGAGAATTTCTCTCACATTTTCTACTACCTCATCAAGATCCGCAAATCAACACACTTTGAACGTTTATAGATATTTAAATTACATCCTACTTATCTCGGGTAAAACGACATTTGCGCTATTCAGCCGAGGTTCTCTGTAACATTTTTTAAGCGTCTCGTAATCTCTCGAATGGATCGCGGTGTGCAGTGTAAACTGTATTATAATATAGATCTCGTCGTGTTTGTCGAATTGAAGGCTACGCGCAAACTTTTAAGCAAACTTGAACGACAAAGTGGATACGGTGATTATCATCCTGGATAACGATTGGTTCCTTCGTCGATTTATGTCGGAAAAAGGTCGATCGTCACGGTTGACTACTAATCTTTTTGCAGTTGACCCACTTACGTGAGCGTTTCGATTTCGCATTGAATGCATCAAAAAGATTGCCTTTCGATGAACTTCATTAATTTACGGCGTACAGTTTACTTTCCATTGTAAAAATTAAAGAAAGCACAAAGCTTGATATATGTATTGTGCTTTATTTTTTTTAATTGTACAATTTTTATAAAACCGATCCTGTGCTATGCTATCTCTTATTTATTACTTTCACTTAGAAGAAAGATTTTTATAGACAAAGGAAAAGCTTTTAATGAAACATAATTAAAGAGATAACACTAATATCTAGATTTAAAATCTAAACGAACTTAGCTTATTGCAAAATAAACACTTCTACCGTCCACATTTATCAGTCTCATTATCTGTCATTCATTCTTATAAATGGAAAAAAATCTACATAAAAATACCGACTTCAAGATCGATCTATGAAAGAAGCCATTCAAAGAGGTCGGCACAGGATCTCTGAATACAAGAGAAAGGTAAATGCAGCTTAATTAAGATGTTTATGCAAAACGATTTAATGCTATTAGAGAGCTGAGTGAATTAGATGTAAAATGACGTATTCAGTCTCAAAACGGCTCACAATAATTGGCCCGTGTCTGAAGCCCGAGCCTTGACTCAGTTACCTTAATAAGAAACGCCGAATGCAAGATCTATCGGTTTTCTCTCCCCCCCCCCCCCCACGCCGTGCGCGCTCGTACCTGACACCATGAATCACTGTCGGGAAACGATTCGCTAGCGATCGATCAAGAACAGGTGTTAACGCGGTCGTAGGTGGAAATCACTAGGAGATTTGTTTCTGACTCGACCTTTCATTGTACGCCACGGCTGTTACTCCACGCGCGTATTTGTCTCTTTCACTTCGTAAATTATACTCTTCTCACGTTCGTTTACGTCTCATGATATAATCGTTGATGTGGTCATCCGGACAGAAAGATAGCCGGTTAATCGAAACGAATTATCGTTTATGTTTATCGATTACGTCAATCCCGCTGCACATCAAATTGATTGCGTATTTGTATTTTTTTCTTTACGTTTGAACTTATTTTCTCATTAATCGGTTTTTTTTAGAAAGCATATTCAGTCTCATTAAAATCTAACGACTCTATAAATTTGTCGGAAAGTTCACGCGATGTAATAAATTACAAAGACTGTATTAGCGCGTCGTAAAATTCGTAACTATTTTCAAGAACGTATTTGTTCCAAAAACTTCCTATTTTTCCTACTCTTGCTTGAAATGTGAAAAAGAAGAAGAAATAAGAAATGTTTTCCTTCCTTACGAATTGTAGTGATCACAGATATAGATAAAATCTTTTTCTCGACAATATCAAATTTTATCGTGTAGCATCTAACAATAAATGCAAAGCTTAGTGAAATTGTTCAATGGGAGCTCTTGTGAAATTAATCTTCTTGCATCATTGTAAAAAAACAGATGGAAATTGCGTTCTTGCATTTCTCACCGTTCGCGTGTATGCTATAAATAGTGTATGTTATAAACAATTGTAATTCGTGTCAGACGTAAATAAATCATGAGCATATAAACGTATTTACATTTGAAAGACTAGATCGAGGTCCCGTGTGACACTTTAAGAATCTCTCTCTCTCTCTCTCTCTCTCTCTCTCTCTCTCTCTCTCTCTCTCTAACTTCGTAAAGAAAAATTACAGCGTTAAAAATATTACGTACCAGCACGGAAGATCTCGCCGCATCCATCGCAACGGCTGGCAAATTGGGCGTCATAACAGTTGCCGCAGTAAATCTTGTCCACCTTGCTACCGAACTGTTTGTCCACCAAGGACACTCTGCACCTGTTGCAGAGGAAGCAGGCCTCATGCCAGTGCTTATCCTTGTACGACAGATCCTGAAAACGACATCGAACTACGTTAATCCTTTTCAATTTATATTTTTTTATTCTATGTGTAATCCCTATAATTGAAGAAAGCTATATTATACCTGTTTTGTCAAATATATTTAATGTTGAAAACTTAATGGTTCGTTTACACAATGATGTACATAAAAACGATTTATAAATGAATCGAATATTTCTCAAATTCAATTCCAAGAGGACTAACATTGCTTTTCATTGGAAATACGATTAACGTGTTACGTTGTGTATTACAGAAAAATTTAATTAATTTCTTTAATTTCTTCCGCAAGCAACGTCGCGTGCGTCTAAATAATTTCAATTAACGTATTATACCGTTGTGTATTACAGAAGGATTTAATTGATTTCTTTAATTTCTTCCGCAAGCAAACGTCGCGTACGTTGTATCTAAATAATTTCTGGAAACCGTCGCGGATGTGCTGAGATCACGGGAATTATTAATCGTATGAATTACGTAATTCCGCGTGGTTGAGGATGCGAGAAAAATAACGTCTTCACTTTTCCACCACAGGTCGATGATTTTTGCGCGTCAGGAGCGAACGAAATATACCTATATGTATTACGATAAAGGCGAGCGTACGCACGGAAAAGAGAGAGAGCGGAAATCGGTGCTCGAAGCCGATACACGGATAGCCGGCACCTGCATCATCGCTTCTATTTCTAGAAATGAGTAAGTCAACGCCCATGCCTCTCCATCTATTGACACCGGCCGTCTCGTAATCATTTGACGGCCGCTAATTACGCCTTTAGGCTGTATATGACGAGCGAAGTAATTTATCGTACGCGTCGAAGTGCGTAACCTAGCTCAAGTACGCTCAGGAAAGACGATTTGAACTTAACACTTTTTGCACGTGCAATACACAAAATATAGTTTTAAAGCTTATTACTAATTGTCGAGCCTTATAAAGTTACGACTTACTGTTTCACGAATTACGATCTTCATTTTCAAAATTGATCCATTAAAAAATTACAAAGAGATTTTAAATCATCCACATTAATGACTAATAAAATTTTTGATCTTTCTTTTAATAAACGAAGAATCGTGTTTGAACAAATTACTTATCCAAAATATTTTTTTTTTTTTAATGACAAATACCTTAGAGTCAATGCCGATGATTTTGCTGCATTCCTCGCAGCCATTGGCGAAAACGCTTTCATAACACTTAATGCAGTAGGGATGCTCGTCTCTGAGAACGTAGCGCTGTCCTGTCAGGGATTCGTCGCACTGCCAGCAACAGAAGTGGCCGCTGTGCCAGTCCTTGTTCATCGCCTTTGTGTACTCGCCACTGAAAATCAACTGCAACGCGAATACCAAGCGTTTAGAATTCGTGACATACGCGTGAAGAGCCGTCTCGGGGCGTTTACATCTGTCGATTGTATGATTCTGTATCAAAACTAATTCTATAAGTTAAATCTCGTGCGATGTTCTTCTGGGAAAACTGAGAAATCATAAGGAGCTGTATATTAAAATAAACATTTTGTATAATAATAAATGCTTTACTAAAAGATGCCGTCTTAAAAGAAAAATATATAACGTACCCAAAAAATCATAAAGATTAAAAGCTCTTAAAAAATTAATAGATTAATTAAATAAACAATTAATAAAACGATGATAAAATTCATTTAAAAATCTCCAAAATTTTATGTAGATGCATTTGAAAAACAATGTAAAAATACTTAGCTCCTTACAATTTTCATTCTATGATTATATTGCACATGAATAAAAGGAAAAAGTAAAATTTGTAACGGAATAAATATTTCAAATTATGTTTGTCATTATAGTTTGCGTTGCTTTGTATCTTCATGTAAACCATTTTAGTTTGTTTTTATAATAGAGAGAATATTGTCCAATGTTTGCGTAGTGGTACCTTGACTTTGTTGCTACAAACTATGACGTAATGTGCATCGTTCACGTTAGTATCAGTAGTTTTATGTTTACCATGTAATATATGATTGTCTAAAATATTGTCAATTTTTAAATTCTGTTTTATAATGTTAAATTTATGTATTATATAATTATCAATAGTTGAACCTTGCAATATTCATGTATAGTTTTGCCGTCTCTATACAAAAGCAAGAATAAATTATTGATATGAATCACTGAGATTCTTTGCACTCATAAATTCCAATTATGAGTGCATAAATGTGTCGTGAGTCAGTTAAAAATTTATGAATTTTAATCGTCAATTTTTTTATTTTAAATTAAATTTTTAATTAAATTTAGCTTTGAAATTAAATTTTCGCTACACATTTCGGAGAATGTACGTTCCTTTCGTTGATTTTTGAAAGTTCGATGGTACCGAGAGAAAAATCACTTATAATACAGTTGAGAGGTTTCCTCAGAATTTTATAGAAAGTAACATAAAACATTCAAAAGTTTCTGGATTAAGACAGTTAAGAAAATTGCCCCTTTCAAAGTATCGTGTTTTACGACCTCGTCGAGAATTCTTCGATCGCATTTTTCGGTCATGTACGCGATCGTGGCGATCGGAATCGTTGATACGTGCTGGTAATATGTACCTTGGATGAGTGCTGTTGTATGTGCTGGCTGAGTATTTCTGTACAAAGTCATATCTATCGTGACACGCGTATGACTGTACAAATCTTGTCTTGAGCGTTTTCATTGCGCAAGTTGAGTGTTCTTTTTCGCTTTCTTAAGGGCATTTATGTGCTTTATCAGCCTTTGAAAAATCCATTAAATTGCAAGAGAAAAGCTAGAGATATCTCAAACTCATATACTCAAAAAATGTACTCTAAATTATATTTTTTCCTCGCAAATAAGCTGCATATCTAAAAAAAAATGCATAAATCACAAGTTGTAACATTGTAAATTTTCCGAAACATACCGATTTTTTCATAATTCTCTCACATTCTCAACCGACCAATTCTCAACTTTACCGATATTTGCCTTATTTTATTTTTGGATGGAATTCCGATTTTTTAATATAATACAAAAGACATACGTATATATTTTTTAAATATAATTTAGAATAATAATTTTGAAAATTCCAGCTAAAGCATCTGATTTATATATGTATATATAAGTAAATATAGCACTGTTTTAAAAATATATTTTAAAATTTTCTCTTCTCGCTTTCGGTCAATTTGACGACCTTAGAAGTAATAAAGTGCACTTTCTCCATTTTTTAATAAGAGAAGAGAATTGCCTTAACTAACGACTTTTCGAAGGCTGATAAGACAATCGTGCGGTCTTACGAAAGAATAGCCGTTTTCTCTTTTTCTCATGTAATTTTGGAAAGGCTCGAGTTCCTGGAGCGTCACCCTAGTCCTCGCCAAGATACGGCAAGGTACGTCGATCGGATTGTGGCCGGCAGTCACGAAATGTCAGAGGATATCCGGAGAGGATCATTCAACGACGAGCGATATCGTTTTAGATACGGCAAGTGCGGTCTTTGCGTGACGAGATGGAAACGCGATGCCCGAAGTTAATCTTTCTTCACTCGCGAGTATTTTTGGCCGCTCGTAAATTGTCCGAGTTCGAGCGAAACGGAGTGAAAGGGTGTTTGAGATTAAACGCGCTGCCGTCTTTTAGGTATAAAGTTCAGGCCGCGAACAAAATAAAAACCGCAAAGACACGCTTATACGAATTTTCGCGTGATATGATTCCGTTAGTTCGTGCAAATTATTCCTAAAAGACTCAACAGGACTGATAGTAATTTTAAGATTGACATTTGATGAAAATGTTACAAGCGTGTTTTCTCGCATTTAAAGCAAATATAGAAGCTGAAGCTCTTTTTTCGAGCAGAATCTTTTAAATATCAAAATTTAAAAGAAGTTCAAAAATATCTAATATTAGAAATATTAAAACATCCTCTGCATTTTAAGCTGGTTGCTAGTACCCAGTCGTCCTCGTTAAATAATCTTACTTCACTATTTCTCAGTGATCTAGATTACAGTTCCTATTTGATACAGAAAGAGATTCACTTAACAGAGAGCAAACTTGGTGCAACCAGCCCTGCAACGTCCGCATCGTGCGTCGCTACTATCACCGTCGCGACGCTTCCGGTCGCGCGCGCATATAGCTTCCGGGGTGACGCTCGCAGGATCACGCAGAATCCCGCTGCCGGATGGGTACAAATCGTGAGCACACGACGAGTGATTACGACGACGGCGACGGGCCGTCGTTAGGACGAAAAAAAGAAAGAAGAAGTGATAATGAGACTATGCGGGTCTGCCGGATTTGCATCGTCAGCCAGCACATACTCTTCGATGGCGTGGTGGTTGTTCTGCGTGCTGTCGACCTCGGTGATCGTGACCTCCGACGCGTTCTGGTCGTGACTCTCCCGACGCTTGGTCGTCTTCTTCACTTTGCGCACCTTGCGCTCGGTGGTCGTGTACACTACACTGTCTACGTCCGCCATCTCTGCGTTCTACCCTCTTCCGTCGTCTGTCGTCGCGATGCGCTCTCTCCTAGGCGACAGAATCAACTGCGGACTGTCGTATTCGGGCAACTCTCTCGAAAGGGTGAGAAGGACACGAGAGAGGAGAATAAGAGGGGGAAGAAAGAGAAAGAAAGAGAGAGAGAGAGAGAGAGAGAGAGAAAAGAGGGAGTCCGCGAGTTTTTCGGTTTGGAAAAAGAAATCGGAGACGGCGAGACTACTGGATCCGGGGCTACTACTGTTCAGCGGCTTTCGAGCTTGCGAACTGACTGAAATCTAGGATCGGCCCGCTCCGGGCGTCATCATATCGGGACGCTATTTTCGGCGTCCCGACGACTCCAGAAACGCGCCGCGCGCGTCCCCCCCGGCTCCCCCTTCGCCACCCTCCCCCTGGCGTCCTTCCACACCCTCCTCCCTGCAGCCGCTCTCCGACCGCTCTCTCGTCTCTCCGCCACCCTTCTGCTCCTTCGTCTCACTTTTGGCGTAGCCTCTCCTTCTCCTGTATCTCGATGCAGTGTGCCGGGTGCAACTTTTCTACGTTACGCCCGCGTCTACTCTTTCTCTCCCTGTATCTCTTTTTTCCCCTCACTCCTCCTTTTTCCTCGAGTTTCCTTCGAGCTTCTTCGAGCTTTTTCATCCCGCACTTCCGTCGCTCCTTTCGTACGAGATTTTTCAGTTTACGATACCAGTGGCCGATCTTCTCGATGACATCCCCGCCTCTTCCTCCCACTTTCTCTTCTTCTCCTCGCCGTTCTTCTTTTACGAGTATTTATGGAGCGACCTGTACCTCCGATTTGCGCGAAGAAACGAAACGGGGTCGACGTAGTCTGACGCGAATTCCGGAGGAACGGTTTTGCCTCGCGCGGCTCCTGGGATTTTTCGGTACCGGGTGAAGTACGGGGGACTTCCGACGCGCGGGTGTACGCTTCGTTAAATTCATCTCCCTCCGGCTTTATTCTCCGTGTTAAATCGTTGATGTCGCGTCGCCGTCGCCGTCGCCGTCGCCGCCACTGCTACCGCATGCGACAGTCGCGAAAATACTCGGCGAGAATTTATTTTTCATAGCGAAATGCATGTTTCAATAATCGGCATCTTAATAATTTATGACCGCGAGTTATTATCGACCTCAATCGAACCGATGTAACCGCAAGAATTGTGAATATATTGCTTCTATTAAAATTTTGAAAAAGGGGAAATAGCTGTTTCTCTCAGTAACGCTTTTCATGTCTAATAAGAATATTAAGGCTTAACTATCGCTTTGTCAGTATAAGTTAAATAATCCATTATAAGTGGGCAAAGTTTTTTTTTAATCTGCACACCATGGTTTGATTCTGATCGCTTCGATTTGATTGAATAAAAATCGTTTCTTGCCCACGATATCATTTACAGTTTGTCGTGTGATATTTAACGAAGTGAAAACTCTCACAGATTCATTTTGCTACAAGTAATTATTTATTTAAAAATGATTATCCAACTCCCAACGTCTCTATCTTACATATTTCGCAAACAGACATCAGACATCACTTATAAAAGGTGAAACACGAGGGAATATAAATGTCGCGCGTGTTTCGCTGCTCGTTCTGCTTCATTTATGAAGCACGAGGAATGATTAATTAGTCTATTCGCGAGGATTATTACAATAAAAGTAGCGGACCCGCCGTCGGGAGACAACAAACGTCTCCGATAGTAGTTCATAAAGGCGCCGTATAAATATTGTTTAAGAGTGACGGCGAGCGAACATAAAGCGGACCGTTTACGATCAACCGTGAACCGCTCCGCCCGCGACTTTTGACGGTTTTGCAACGAGGCGCGCCGCGTGTCGTAACGCTGTGACATTTAGTGTTATATCTATCTTTTTTAATTTTATGTATCTAGCAGCGAAAATAGAGGGATCATCCCTTATTGGCGCGGTTCGTCCGCGCTGCCGCTTCTCGAGAGTATCAGATTGCTACCGCGAGACGGCGATAAAAATGCACGATAGGCACCCCGGTGTGACTCAGAATCCCCTGTCGATTTTTTCCCCTTCGAGTCTGTCGAAAAAAAGCCTCGCCGCGGCGCCTTGATCCCCTGCCAAACAGGTGGTTCCGGGCCGGGCGCGCGTGGGAGTGCGGAAAAATAGAACTCGAACGAAAAGTAGAGATAGAGAGAGCAATCGGCGAAGTAATTGGGTCGGAATGTTTCACACATCACCAATATCCCCCTCCTCTGCCCCTCCCAGTCACCTACGCGCGGAGAAAACTCGCGCGGACATTAATCCGCGTGACGCGAAACTGTCCGGTTTTCGATTCGTGAGAATAATGAGGATATACGTAAGGTTCGAAAAATATATGTATGCGTCTTTTAATATATCTCATAAATATGTGTGTTCTTATATATATTATAAAATCTTCATGAAAGGAGTGTGCGGCAATATCAAGCTAAAAATTGACAATTTTTTATTTTGATTATTAAAAATTATCGAAAGAAAAAAACTTGTTTTTTTTACTTTATTTTTATTTTAAATAAAAAACTCATTCTCTCCTATTTTTCCCGAAAAATTACATATATATCATTTTGACTTATAAAATACTGCCAATATAACGTAACATGTGAAAAATAATTTCTGCAAAATTGTGTTGCACAGATCCCAATGATTTCGATACTTTTGTAATTACATATAGGTATTGCGCACTTATTTCTGTATCTATATAATTAAAACAGCGATCAGCGATTTTACAGCGCCATACTTGTCTTAGTTTTATCGAGAATGAAATATCGTTTAAGATAATCATTGCAGTAAACCAATTGCAATTTTATCTTGTATAATTCAAATACTCATAAAATACGAATTACATCAGTTTATCGTTATTGTAAATAACGTATCGAGAAATTGCCGCTCGTAAATAAATCAAGATATCGAAATGTCGCGGCGGAGATAAAGGATAGTAATATAATATTACGAGATTCTCTCCCTCCCTTCCTCCGGAAGAGGGTGAATTAAAAATATTCAGGCGACGCGCTATTCCGCGACGAAAAAAAGAATGAGGCATCTGATGAATTTCGGCGTCGACGACGAAGTCTTGTCGTCGTGTTAAATGTCGTGCTAGATGCGCGCGCGCGCACGATGTATACGTATATTATTTGCAGACGGGTATGAGATTGATATTTTGGGAGACCCCACGCGAGAGGCACACGGCACCAATAAACGCCGCGGCACCGACGAGGGCTCCGCGCAAATATCAAATGCGTTTTGTTATGGCGTTTACGTACTGTTTCCGATGCGAGAGCGCCCGATTGTGAAATTTGCACCCCCCCCCCCCTCCGCATATGCTCGAAGGGATCGCTGATACATAGCAAAGTGAGCGGCGTTAATTGATTCCAGCGCCAATTGCTCGTAGAACCTGAATATCGTTGTTTTGTGATACACACCTCGAGTATAACTTCTAATTTTGATGGACACACTCACATGTTGTTAATTTTAGTTGATTCCTCGACCTCACAGAATAAAATAATTGACTGCCTAATTGCCATTGCTATATTAGACAAGTTTAAATACTATAATAGCTTGCGTGACAGGGGCAAGATTGTGGAAATATTTTACATACATATGTTCAAAATAACATATATCGTGATTGTATAATCTGAGATAATTAAGACATTTATCTTTACAATTATTTAATAATAACTTGATAACAATTTTTAATTACATTCAATAATCAAACAGACTTTCATATTTTGGACTGTTGTAGTGCCAATACTTGGCTACTAAGTTTCACGAAAGTGGGCGAATATGTCTGACGATAGACAAGTGCGTGGGATTCTTTAGTAACGAATTGCTTGCTTTGCGCAGCCAAATATTCGAAATATTTTGGGAACAAGTATTGCGCAAAATCGGAAGCGACTTGTGCGAGATTCCACGCGGCGTGCGTCTGCGGGCGCGTGAGGGAGATTTTCCTCGCGGTGGAATACGAAGAGTAAAGTTAGTGAACTGCCCGGTTCATCCAACCTGCCTTGTCGAATAACGTTTATTGACACATTGGACACGCGAAATAAAGTAAACCGACCGATTAACGGGGGTTATTTTTAGCCGTCAAATACACTGGATATTAAAAGATTCCATTCGTCATAAAATCTGCTCGTGGCTATAAATGCACGATTTCGGAACGCAAGTAAATGCTCTAACTGCATAAATGCCCGCTTTTTTTAACCCAATCTGTAGATTACGATTGAGATGCTCTCAATCGTAATAGCTAACACCTGCTAGTCGATTGCGACATCAAAAGTGCAGAAGTTCACGCAGGTTTTTTATATATATAGCTAACGTAATTTTCTTCAAATATAAATCACTTTAATTTGATAAATAGACAAATAAAACGTTTCGATAATTCACGCATAAAATAATCATTAACATCGTTCAACCTCTTGCTTCCTCTGCAGTCATTTCGATGATTATTTTATTTTTAATTATTTTATGTTTCTGTTTTTATGTACTGATCTTATGAAAAAATTTCCAACTAATTTTATGAAAACATTTTACTTGATTTTCGCTACAAATAATTTTTTTATTTGTACACAATTACAAACATCATTCGTAAAATTTCTCATATCTTATATACAATAGTAACTGAACTTTGGAATTGAAACATAATGAATTTTGAAAACATCAGGTAAAATCATAAGAAAATTGAAAAACTAGAAAATAACGGAAAGAATCAAATTAATTGTGAAAATTTTTTCAAAATTTCATAAAGTTTGTTAAAATCAATGAAGATTTTCAAAAGGGATGAAATAACAAAATAATTTAATTGCACAAGTTAAAATTATGAAAATCCGTCACTTGAAATACATTGTTAGACTTTCAGAAGACACTCTAATTGCTTGAAAATTTTTCACATATCCGAAAATTTTCTCATGTTCGAGTGTAATATCTCGAAGAACGTACGTTCGATAAGTGTAGACAAAAATGATAATAAATTTTTCATCGTTTGCAATGTATTCATTTAATAGTTGAAGAGTTTGTCTATTGTTATTGCATTGTTATTTTAATTGTAAGATTGATTCTGAGCTACAAGGAGAACCACCATTCTGTAGTATATTAATAGAAGCTGAGAATTTTATAATTGCACAAGTCCGATTAAAAAATTACAATTAGAAATTTGAATGTAGAAATATAATAAAAATAATTATTTGATATTACAGCTTTTTAAATCGGAGTATATTTATTATTTCCTTTACGATTCAGCTTCGAAATATGTAAGACACATTTTTAATTTATTTGTTTATAAATTAAAAAAAATTTGATATATAAAAAATATAAATGCAGATATTGTTTGATAATAAAAAAATTTTAAAGTCCAATTGTGATATCTTTAAAGTATGAAAAATTAATTAGAAGCATTGAAATTATAAATAAAAGATATTAATAGTTAGCTATCTATTTAATATAACAGATCTATCTAATAAGTAGATTAAAACTCATGTATTTTTATAGCATGGAATAAGAATTTGAAATATTAAATCGTTAACTATCATTTTAGATTCCATAAATGAATTACAGGAATATTTTCAACTAGGGAACTTATGCAATTATAAAACACATGGCTTCGAGTCAAGCGTATTACCCAGAATGCTTTGTTCTGATCGGTGTCAGGTATCGTGTATTCTATAGGTGGCCTTCCGGAACTCACATCCTCCGCGTCCACGAATTCATCGTCGTCTTCGAGCGATGATTTCGACCTCGAGTCCTCCCACCTCCTCCGCGAAACGCTCGATCCCTTCGAACTGTCGAAAATAACATCCCTGACTATTCCGTAGTCCTCCTCGCTGGCGTTTTCGAACCTGGATACTTTCAACGTCTTCGTCTTGTCTCTCCGCGATCTTTCCACGGAGGTGACGGCGTTGATCGCTGTGTAAATCTGTTTATCCTGATCATCCGACTGATCTCTCGAGCTGGAGGACGGCCGAAACCTTTTGCTCTTGAAGGATTTTCTGGCGGAGCTACCTCGCGAGGACAAGTCCCGCCTGCTCTCGGACAGTCCGATGACGCTGCTAACCAGCTCCTCCAAGACCTCGTCGTCGAACAGTATGTCCTCCAAAACGGTCTGTACTTCTACCGAGACGCTCTTCTTACTCTCCGACCTGGACAACGACGGGCTGTTAGTTGGAGATGTGTTCGTTGACATGTCCCTCAATAAATCGCACACCGTCTGCACGGATATGTCAGACTTGCGACGTTCCGGATCGTGATTCTTCCTCGATTTCTTCGTGCTCAAATTCTCCGCTGACTTACTGATCTCCGCGTTCTTGGACTTCAGTCTGGTAGGCTTTCTCGAGATCGTCGTGGAGGATTTGCCGGATCTCGGTTTTTTCTGGCTGACGAAGGTCTTCTTCGTCGCGCAAATCTTCGTTGTCTTATTCTCCTCGACAGCTGGCTCCTGGGCGGTCCAGTCAATTTTCGTATGATCGTTCGAGAGTTTCTTCATTTTTTTGGAAACATCGACGTTCTTCGATTTCTTCGATAAATCTGGAGACTTGGAGGATGATTTCCTCGGTGCTCTTCGCGCGAGCTTTATCTCCTCGTGATCAGACTCGTCGACCGATGACGCCGACTGCGAGTCCCTGTACCTTTTGATGATCGAAAGGATGTCGTCGAAGGAACTCATGGTGGGCGCCTCGTTGCCCGAGTCCTTGTCGAAGGACGTGTCCACCTCGCTCGAGGAGGCAGATATTTTGTTTTCGTCGTGGGCGAACGGGATCGGCGTCGGTAGCCTGACATACTTTTTTGGCTCCGGCGGGGCCAGCGATCGCGCGACTTGCTGCAAGCTTTCTCTGATTTCCGTATTGATCTCCTCCAAGAATCTCTTCGTCTCGATATAGTCGTCGTTATCATCGTCGTAATGCCGATCGGCTTGGACGATCCACGTTTCATCGTCCTCTCGCACGAGATAACTAAAATCCGGGCTGATCCTCGAGTCCGGACTGAGTCTCGAGTCCGGTCTGGAGCCGCCGCCGAGCAAGTATCTGGTGCTGCACTCCGATAGCGTGCTTCGGCCGTCGAAGTTCTTGCCCAACGATCGGAGCTCGCTTCTTACTCGTAGACTGTACTCGTGCAAGTTTTCGAGCTTGTGCTTGGCGTCGCGAGGAAGTCTCACGTCGATCGAGTGGCTGAAACTGCAGAGCGAATCGTGGATGCTCTGAATGTCATTGTTAGCCGGCTCGTGATACGAGAGGCATGGTGTTGGCGGACTGATGCTGATCACTACGCTGTCAGACGCGTGTCGCAGACACGCCAGCAGCTCCAAGACTCCGACGCAGCCGACCAACACCGACAGCAATAAACCCATCTTCGAATTAATTATTGAGAATGATTCAAGTTATCTTACAAATTCATTCGCACCTGGGTCCATCTTTGAATGAGGAATTTTATGAGTTTGTCTTGCAGGCAGAAATTCAAATACGTTTAAGACAAGACTTTCTTTTTTTAAGGAATTTCATCGATTATTGAATCGATTATTGTGGTTTCGTTTATATTGATTGCTGATTATAATATTCGTCGATTGTCCCGTTGCATAATTCAGCAATGAGTGCTCTCGTACTTTCAATTAGTACTATAAATATGTTCTGGCAGCGTTTCGAATGATGATCTAATTCTTCACTTTTCATCAAATAAGATCGTCGCTAATATTAACTTCACTGACGTCATTAGAATCCAATATCAAAAGACTTTTATGCATCAATAATTGTAACAATAAAACTTTTTAAAGTAAAACTGCAATTGAAGAATCGAATTTTTCCTACTGAAGATCGTATGCGATTTATTAATTTCTTCCTGTCTCGATGGAAATTGCTGACGAATGATGTCACATAACGAAAAAAAGAAGGAAAGAGAGAGAGAGAGAGGGAAATTCGCTGAAGATTGTACGGGTCTTTGGAGATTACACGCCTACTCTTTTCCAAATTCGTCACGATTTCGACACCGCGCGACATGCAAATTTTCTCTCTCGAAAACAGTCGCGGTCTCACAAGTTTGTGCAAACTCTGTATTCCAGTCAATGAAGGATAATTTTGGCACACGCCGTACAAACGCGAAAATCCAATCGCAGCACTTGTGTTCTGCTTCGTATTCGCACAGGCATCCCCGCGAGTATTCTTCGCCCGAGAATGTCGATACTTCCCGAGGGAATATCCAACGAGAGCCTCGACGTGAGACAAATTCGAGATTTCGTGTAATTTCTCACAGTCGCGTTGAAATAGCGAGAGAGGTAGAATTCATGACAAGTTCCACGTTGGGTAACGGGGATTTTTCTCGGGGATATTTTTCTGCATCCTACCAGAGATTCATTCGGTATTCCGGTACTCCTTTCTGAAAGCATCGTCCGAACGGGGGGGCCTCCGACCTCTCGCGCGAGGCAACCTCATGGCCCCGGCGCGGCGGCGGCGGCGTGAGCACCGGTCTCTCTCTCGTAAGCACGGTAGTAATTCTTGGTGTCGGTGACGTCACCGGGAAGACAGACGACGATTACGCGATCCCGAGAGGGGGGCCGGACCACCCACGCGTCACTCTGGTGTCCACCACTGAGAACGTATAGTAAACGTTCTCCACTCGTTGATGAAGGCGAGACGTTGCGAGACGTCTCTCTCCCTTCCCCTCTTTCTTCCCCCTTTCCTTTCTTTCTCTCCCTTTCGGCGCTCGGTATCGAAGCAAAACCAACGATTATCCGTACGCGCGAATCATGCCCGATCACGGCGATTATCGGCTTATCCATGCGGCCGGATGGCGGCCAGAGCACTGTTTTATTTTCCGCGGGCAAAAGCGGCTGGCCAGGCTGCTGGTGGCCGTCGGCTCGTTATGTCTCGACGTGTCGACGTCGACGTCGACGTCGCGAAACGCCGGGCACGATGCGCGGGGCCCGGCTAAAGGCTAAAGTTAGCCCGAATGTCCCTGAACGGCGAGTCCCTGTCCTTAATGCACGATGAACGGCGCGATCGATCGGCGCGAACGGTAATTAGCGATGCCGATCCGCAGCAGTAGCAGCAGCAGCAACAACAGCAGTCGCCGCCGCCGCCGCCGCCGCCGCTGTCACGTCGGTTGCCAATTCCGTCGACCATCGATCCGTTCAATAATCGCAGTTTGCTCGCGAGGGAAAAGCAAACCCGCCGATGTTTGAGTGCGAACGCATCAAATGCGACTCTCGTTCGTTAGAACGACCCGAATATTTCGACCACGTGATGACGCCGGTAATCTCGCTGCCAGAAGCATAAATCTGACGTATCCGGAGAGGTAAACAAAATTTTTAAGTTTTGATGTATGTACGTTAATTTGGCTCCTGGCCACTGATGATTAGCTGATTCATCTCGAGCCTGATCGTCCGATAGCTCGAGTCAATCTCGCTCTCAAGTCGGTTAACTTTAATTGTAATCTCTTGGACGCTGATGTGCCTTTCTCTGTCATAATTAAAGTAAGATTAAGATCAAGATTTCATTACTTTATTGCAACGTTAATGGAAAATGAGATTTAAAAATTAAGTCTACAATAATCATATAATAATGATAAATGATAAAATTATAAATGATATTACATGATAAATCCTGTGTTATCGTTTTATATCGCCAATAATGATCATCTACTAAAGCCTTTCGCGTTTTTGTTAATTGCAAGATTTTCCCTCCATTTTCTTTCAATGCGTGCAGATTCGAACAAGTAAAATACATCTAGAGATATAGAGTATAACTCATTCAATTCAAACAATTCTAAATTTATCGGAGGAAAAGGAAAATACAGGTTTCTATACTCAAATAACAGCGGAAGCCGAATTCCGCGCGACTATTAACACGGTTCAAGAATAATTCGGTTGCAATTCTAAACTCGCTCTCTGCGTTCGATTCGCCAGATACACTCGCGATGATTCTCGCGCGCGCTCAAAGGCGCATCGCGCCGCGCGGTGTTTACGCGCGCGTGGTCGGCCGCGGTCGCCCGAGAACAGAGTGAGCTTCTGGCGTCACCCGATAGATTTTATTTCGGTTACCTCATCGGTTTGTACGGATCAACGTCAGAATTCACGATCCCCGATAGCCCGAGCATTTTGCGCGCGGTACACTCGCTCTGGCGCGCCTCCAACGAGAAGCTATCGGTGCGGCGGCCCCGCGGAGCGAGCCCCTTATCGAACCCTCGATGATCCATATTACGCGCGATGCAACGCCGACTCGAGCGCGACGGAATCCGGGGAAATTCGGATTTCACGGAAGCGCGCATCCCCCGCGATCGCCCGTCCGATTTATCGCGTCCGAGTCGCGATGCGAGTGGGCAAACAAGATAACGGTGTGACAAAAATACAGATACAACGAGAGCGCGTGCTGAACGGTCTATACGTGTTGTCTCATCGTATTGAATACGTGCGATATCCAGAAACGATTCACTTAATATAACAGAGCGTTTAGGTACTTTTTAAAAATCTGCAAAAATATTCGAAACAACAAAGTATACGATATAATAAAAAGCGAATTTTTTATTCGTTATAGTTACTATAGGAAGGATAATTTTTTATCAAGCGTAATATCGAATATATAAAAAAGAAGAAGAAATTGGCATTATTAGCATCAGAAGGAACATATTCAGCTGTACAGTCATGGACACATCGATTGCGACACTTTCTTTTTTATAGATTTCAAAACGCACTAATATTTTGCAAATGCGGACCACGATTGGTGTTATACTGTCTCTAGACTAAAGATAGTACATCGTGGTTCGCATTTGCAAAATATTAGTTATCTATAAAATATATATTATGTATATTAAATATATATTAGAAACCTATAAAAAAAAAGTGTTGCAACCGATGTGTCCACGACTGTACATAAACATTACAAAGCCACAATAATTTATTTTTATTAACATAATCAAGATTATGCAAGATTAGACAATCTCAAGAGGATTCTCTGTTTAAATAAATGTTAAAATATTTTGTCAAATGACAGTAAAATTAAAATAAAATCTGAAAAAAGTGTAATTAATGTGAGATTCATTGTAATATCTATTTAATAAGATATAATACTAAAAGGTTTTTACATCGCAGTGACGATTATTTACGTGATTATTTACGTGACGGAGAGATTTAATTGTAAACTACATAAATTACATAGAAATAGGATATCCATCTGCACTAGAATTTTTACGTAGTTGAGATTGCTATAAGTGAGTCGTTTCCGAGTAAAACCCGTTAACGTATTTCATATATTGAGCAATGTCTTTGAATGTTGCAATTGTATTTATATCACAAAGGTTTCAGATAGTCTTAATCTCATTTTTTTGTTTCATTAGCAGCCAATAAATTTTGCAACGTTAAGTGACAAGTATTTTACACCGGATATGACTCAATCATTTCTGAGTGCAATTTTATATATGATATGTATTATCTATAACTATCGTTGAGAGTCTTTAAGATATCAAAAGATGTTAAAAATTATTTCTTTTTAAATGTGTTCAGATAAGTGTCTGAGATAATAAATATCCATCGTGAATCATTTTTCCCAATGTCTATTATTAATAAACTCAGAAAATTGTCGACGGATTAATTTCCACACGGAAAGAACGATTTTACTGGAAGGTCTAAAAATCTGAAAATAATTCTTGTTGGATCATCAAAATAATTTTATTGGAAATTCAAACTGATTGCTAGACTATCAAAACGTTTTACAGCAATACTTGTCATTTTTTAGTTACCAATAAAATTATTTCGATGGTCCAACAAAATTATTTTCAGATCAAAATTGTTTTGACTTTCCAGCAAAATCGTTCTTTTCGTGCAATAAAGAAACAACTGCTCAAGGATTTTTGAAAATCTCGCAATAAAAAAAAATAAAGAATTATGAAATATTATTTTTTTTATAGAAAAACAATGCTATAATAGTTCAATACTCAATAACGGGTACATGATAATTTGGTTAAGCTATTCTAATTAATTTTTCAGATCAGAATATTTAAGGACGTTTACGATACTTTTAATTCAAGATTTAAGTTCTTATTCGTATTTTACTGAGATTTTTTTTTCATCGGAGGCACGATACGCTCCATTAAAATTCCACAAAGACGTGCAATGGAATCGGAGAATGAAGAATCATGAAACACGCGAGACACGAGTGGGTGATGGAGCATCGGCTGCGCAATCCACCGGTCCGGACCACTTCCCCGACTGGCGCCGAAAATAAACGTGTACGTCGACAGCGTATCGGGATGCAAACCAAAATAAATCGACGCTGCGTCTTGCGACGTCTCGCTTCGCGAATTTACTCGTCAGATTATCCGACGCGTCCACCGGCAGGCAATCGTATAATTAATCTAAGAAATCTTTTGCTCAATAAAATGATCCACAATGCAAGAAGGCATGGCCTCAACTTATTGACCTTTATTACGGTATAAATATGATATAAAAGCTCATTTTCCTCTTAAGTTTACACGTATGCGAACTATATGTTATACATTCGTAAACGAGCTAATGTAGATTTTTATTTTTATTCTTTCCGTTAGATATATCGAAACATCTTTCTTCACGATTACGTGCGGATTAAAAAGCTTTAGAATGTTTATCGGTGATTTTAAAATTAACTCTCGGAATATATTATTTTATAATCTCTGTTAATCACATGTGGCACTTTTAACACTTTGCTTTATTATTGCTAATAAATGCTGCTATTAGCGATTTTGTAAATCAATCTGTCTTTTAGCGCCTTGATATTTTATCAAGAAATAATATCGATATAAGTCAGTCAGGAGTCACTAACAGGATATTCGACAGAAATATATGAAGAAAAGTTGGTAGCACGATATAAAGAACTAATAAAAAGGAGTAATATAAAAAAATAAATGATAAGAGGGATAATATCAATTCGACATTATAAATAATGGTAAATCATGGTACTCGGCAGTGAGTCGTTAAAGTATTTGAGCATACAATCGGACTGCACCTTGTCGAAAAGCAAATTGGACTCGCTGAGTGGAGGACCTTGACTCTGTCCGTAAAAGCCAAGAACGGACTCGGAGCAAGTCTTCCCCACATGTGTGTGCGCACCGTTCGCAGGTAATGGCTAATCGATGATCGTAAAAAAAACAACGTCAAACACTTCGACTCTTCGAGAGAGATCGATCGGTGTGTAATCCAGATGTAGAAGAAACGCGTGCTCGCGACATCGTATCCTATTCGGCGGCGGCGGCGGCGGTGGCCGGCCGGCGGCGGCGGTGGAGGTCGAAATTAGTCGACCTCCTTGCCCGCACCCGAGAGAGCCGGTTCTTCTGGAGGGAAACGGAACAATGCCAATGCTATTTCGGTCGATGATCGAACGGTGGCCACGGTCGAAGAAAAGCGTGCCACCGGATCTTGAAAAGCCCCGCAACTCGTTCGCGAGCCGACCGAATTAGATTAAAGCGGCGGAACTGAAGTCTAATCCCCCTGTCGGTCGAGATTATTCCCCCAGGACCGCGGAGTCCTCGTCCCTCCGCTTGGCATCAGGTGTATATGCCTACATCGAATCGGCCGTGATCTCGTTTCGCGTCTCGCAGAGCCGTTAATACGCTGCTCTTTCTCTTTTTCTCTTGATCTATATCGTTCTCTTCGCTCTCCGCCGTTTCTTTTATCTTAACTTTAATGTACGTTGGTGGCGTATGACCCAAATTGCGTCGCGTATTGCTACAAACTCGTTTTTGTCGCGAGGTATTTATTATCGGACCGTACAATCCGTTAGGCTCTCAGATCGATTTAATTCTTTGCTGAGCAACTTGGAATGGAAACTTTTGCGCGAAGAAAATACATTTTATCCAACAAAATTCTTTAATGGAATTACTTATGTGGTATATATTGATAAAATAAATTAGCTATTTGCAGCAAGTGAAATTTACCTAAGTTCAGGCTAAATCGCATAAAATTTTAAGATGAACATTCTCAAATTAGTTAAAAAATTATAATTTGCCGTGAAAATATTTCCCGGACTCAAGACTGTTTATTTTAAGTTTAGTCAAAGTATCGGAAATAATTAACATGTGACAGACTCGACCTGGCCGATCAAGATGAAACGTAGCTCTGGCAACCAGGAAATGGTCAAGTGCAAAGACCTAGCTAGAATGCCTGGCGTTCGAGAGACGCGCAACCCCTTGCCATCACATAGCATTTCTTACCAACGAGAGTGTCACTGACATTCTAATTATTTTTGTCAACCGTCTCGTTCATCAGCAGATTGCAAAACATTGGCTGTTATTGCATTGAAATAGTACTGTCATTTATATCGTGCTACTCGATCGTATAATGTTTGATTACCTACCTAAATATTAACAAATACGTATATAAATAAATAATTTGGTATTTAAAATATATTAGATCTCGAATATACTAGTTGAAGTGTAATTTTGGAGAATTGGGTCACATTACTGTATAATCGAGTGAATGAGCTATAATTAACACAAATGTGCACATTCACAGACACATTTTTAGCTGTTCGAGTTGGCATCGAGCTTTAACGGACAAGTAATAATCCTTTCGCTACTAAAAGCTTTAACTGAGATTAAATCATAATGAATCGCATCTAAAAGCGAAGCTCGACCTTGCAAAATTGGCGCTATAGAGAAAATGGGAGATTATTGGTATATTTACTGTTTGTTTGCGTTGTTCTGTTACATTTTCAGTTTATGAGTTTACTAATAATAAATTAGTGGGCTTTAAGAAGTGACTGCTTGATAAATCACTTTAGCACGAGTGTCCCTGTAGTTTCGCGTATTTGAAGCACTGATTAATTTACGTGAACCATGAATATAATTCAAATAACGTCTTTACACATTGTATTATTTTTCCTCACATTATTTCTCAAAATGGCGATAAATTTATCGCGTATCACTAAAATCAGTATAATTTTGCCTAATTCAAATTATACTACAAATATATGAAAATTTGTATGATTTGTTCATCAGAATCAATAAATATAAACTGACATGAGATCTTTGGATCCATATTTATATAATCGGAAAATTGAAGTTGAATAATCGAGCTAAATATTTATAACGTTTCCAGAAACAATTTCTTCAAGAGTGTACATAAAAACATAAATTAATATCCAATTGCCTAATTAAAATTCAAGATAATTCAACTACACAAATGTAATACTATCGGGATTAAGAAATATATAATAATTTACGAGCTCGCCCCAAATTCGTGCATCGATTTTTATGCGGCATCTGCACGTCGTAAAAACGCGGCTCGCTTGAAATAGACAATGTGCCAGAATTTTACGGTGGTGCTGTTACGACACGTTGCGTCATTGTTACGCCATGCTTTCGTATAAAATCCGCTACTTGCTCGATTCAAAGCTCAGAACACTCTCGCATAGTCTCGACAGAACCGTTTCAACGACCGTGCCAAAAAATCGCTTGTCTCTTCTCACGAAAATACAAAACTCCATTTATACGATTCGCAACTCTGCGCGCGATTATTTATATCGTAAATTACATTCCGACGTAAATTGTCTCTATATTGCACGATCTTTCGAATTAAATCACGCAAAATACATTAATTTTTATTACAATTTCCAAACGACTGTCACTACATATTCCATTATCACATCGTAGTTTTATCGTAAAGGGAATCTGATCTCTAATTCACACCGTCGCGACATTGTAAATATGCAGCGTGTGAATTGTCTTTGTGTAAGTCCTGTTTGTTTTGTATTATCCTCCTATAGGCGCGTCGTAATTTTACGAGGTGTTCACGCGGGTGCGAATGGGGGAGCGAGGGGAGAAATGTGTACCTTGTTCTGGGATAGTGTTTGCGTACTTTATTATCAGATATACAGACATAAATCGATTAGAGCGAGTGGATCATTTCACCAGGTCCTTACCATCCCGCGTGACTTTTACGCGACGACTTTTCTTTCCGATCTTTCGCGCGGTTGCGGACATCTTGGCAGCCGACCGGTAAACACTTTTCCCTCGAGCGATTATCGCGCAACCGTGTCTGACTACGCGCTGGCGCACTTCACTTACCGAAATCCAAAACCACCTTTCTCGAGTGACCGCAGGCCGTGGTCGTCACGACGGATTGGAGAAAGGCGCGGTCACTTTTCTTTTTTTTTCTTTTTATTTTTTTTTTGTCTGTTCGTAAGTCGATAGACGGACAGAAAAAGAGATATCGTTCTTCTGTACGAATAAAAAAAAAAGTACGAATTCTACTACCGCAATTAAGGTTATTACGTCGATTTATTCGCGCGCTTTCGTCGTCTTTCGTTCCCTTCCTGAAACTCTCTGACTGGCTCTAATAAAAGACCCGAACGGGTCAGCCTCCGGATACCATCGTGGTGGGAGCTTCGACAAGGAATCAAAATAGATTACCGGCTGCGGCGAGATTTCCGGTTGGATTAAAACTAACTTGAGGCAGCATTTCTTGACGAAACAGCTGGTGCTTTTCATATTTCGTAGATGAAATTCCGCGATCTCGAAGAATCTCGCGTTACATAATTTAAACTATACGAAGCTATACATATTACATTTACAGCGATTATTGTAATAATTTTTATTATATGAATATGAAATCATGTAATAAATTCATAATAATTCTCGATAAGTTTGAAAGTAAACTATTACAATTTTATTCTAAAGAATCCCAGGAGATTTTCAGGAATTTTTATTTTAATGACGGATTTTTTTGTTAATAGTCTGAAGTCGTTTTCGTTGAATTGCAACCGACGCGAATAATTTTCGAATTCGAAGCGATGGAAGATGAAAGACTTTTCACGTACTTTCAGGTGAATAAAACAATTTAAATAGCGAAAGTACTTTTGGTTGATATAAATAGGTTTACGTTAAATTCAGATCTCTTCAAGATTTAATATTTCTAAATTGCTAAAGAATATGACTGTCAACTTCTTTGGCGTATGTTTCGTGTAAATTATTACGACCCGCCAACTGGCTTGGTGGATCACAATGAAAAACTGAGAATCTTGGCGCATCGGCGGCTCGTGTTGTCGCAATATACTTAATTTGCATTGCGCAGTTCCGAAAGTGACGAACGGCCGACTGTGATGTTCCTCCGCTATCTTACTCGATCTCTATTTTCGTCCATCTAAATAAAGCCGAAAGTGGCCCAGTTTCTGCGCAACAAGCGAAACAACGGCGTGCGATCGCGCGACATTCAATATATTCTTCAGATATTTTAAGATAGGGCTAACGTCTCTTATTTTCCACGCGTTGCGCCATTTCGCGTAGCGCTTCACAATACATATAAATGTGATAAGCGGAATTATATGTGTTATATCTAACATATTAGAAAGCGCAGATAGAGTTGGCGGGCTCGCGCTAAAAAAAAATTGCACAGATATGTTGTAAAATTCAAACACGTACCAC